GGACAACTCGCCCTTTCACCATAAATACCCTCATTGTTGTTGAACTAATTGTTGACTTTTAACTATCCTACACCCACCTAAGTAAAAGAAGAATGTGTCTATCATTTTACTTTTTATCCAATCCCAGAGGTTCCATCCTCTCCCCCCATTGCTTTCTTCTGCCTCAGCCTCCCCAATCTATCACCAATGGATTTCATGTAACACACTCACATCTTCTCTTTTGATTCCAATGTATAATCCAAGGTGCAAAACTATCATTCTCTGGAGCATTATGTCAATCCATTGAGAATCTGCTTCCAGCCATTGTGGACAGCTGGGCTTAAATAAACACACAGAACTTCCTACAAGTTTAAATGTTTCTTTTTTGTTTGTTTGTTTTGGAAGGGAGAGCCCAGAAGGAGGAAGGGAGGAGCGAGTGGGGAGGGGGAAGCGGTTTGAATGCTTCTTAAGTTACCAGTGCCTATCATGGAATGGTCACACAGTGATGCTCATTCTCCCACCTGGACGCAGTATGGCCCTGTGGCTACAGTCTAGGATCAGGAGCTCTCTTAGGAACGTCAAGTAAATGGGACTATGAAGCAAAAATGAAAGAAAAGATCTTAGTCTTGATGGTTGCCAAAGTTTGATGGTAAAAGAAAGATCTGCAGAATAAGTTAGTAAATTTTCCCTTTGCTCTGTTCTCCAAAGGGAAAATTATAAAGGCTGCATGGAGAGGAATTTAGACCCATGAACACTGACTACTAGTGCCACGGTCATCATACATGAAGGGAACCTGATGAGGAATGAGGCTGAAGGAGAACAGACGTGTATTCCAGCTGGTGGTCCAGATACTGAAAACAGCCCAGAGGCCACATGCAGTTAGCCCCTGGCTGCAGGATCAGGGATAGACATTGTTTCAGGGTAGCTATCATTTAATATCTATTCCTGGTTTATGACTCCAGCATGATCCAAACTTAGGGTAGGAGTCTCCAAAAATTTTGCATCTCATCCATGAGCCAACCAATCCTGAGACCCACCAGGAGCCTGGAGAGGAGGGAGGAGCAAGCATGCATTCTGCCTTGGGGCTACAGAATTTATTTTATGGTGGGGCTACAATGAGCTAAGGTCCAAGCAGCTGCTGCCACAGGACACAGAAGAGGAAAGTGCAGAGGAGCTTGAGTCCTCACACATGGAGTTTGACCCACCACTACGTAAGCAGTGACCAGGGCTGCACAGCAGGCAGGCAGATAGATATGGGAACAGGAGTGGTGTCTGGGCTGGAAGGATATCACAAATGTGAAGCCCATCCTTGAGTTCTTAGGGGTTTGTGCCCCACATGTGGTTCTCTGGGGACCTGCACCAGAAACCTGAACCCACAGAGTGTCTGTCTTCAGAAAGGAATAAGGCTTGTGTCCAGAGAACCCTAGGGGTGTAGGGCACAGGTAATTCCTCTTTGAAAGGGCAGGTGAACAGGACTTAAAGGTTTTATAGG